CGCATGTATGCACGCACGCGCGTTGCGCGCGCATGCACGCACGCACGCCGCACAACACACACACACACACACACACACCACACACACCACATACACACACCACATACACACACCACATACACACACACATGCACACCACGCACGCACGCACGCACGCTGACGATACAAACAGAACTAATCACCACTTCCACCGCGCGCGCTCCCCGCCCCCAACGCCGCTACGGCGACAAACGTCCGGGCCAAACTCACCCGAACACGCCATAGTGGATGTGTCTCTCTCTCTCTCTCTCTCTGTGTCTGTCTCTCCACCACACCACACAATTGTAGGGAACGTACGTAAACACATGTACAATTGTGCATCATAAATCGACGCCGGGTTTCTCATTTCTATAGTTGATGTCCGCTCTTAACATGCAACCCGGTGGGTGGGTGTGCACGGGCGGTTGCATGCCCTGAAGGCTAGGTGTAGTGGCTATATTGCTGTACACGGAACAACAACACTTCAAGCCAATAGAAGCGGATATTGCACCCCTCGCCTGTCACAAGTACGAAGCCTTGAGGGGGTCATGGACCGGTTGATCAGAATACAGAGGCGAGGCCACAACGGAGGGGGTATTTGATTCTCAATTAGCCCGAGTACATGCTGGGAAGTGGGAATATTCGCGCATTTACCTGTGGTTAGGCTGGGGGGGGGTGACGTGTGCGTTTACCTGTAGCTAGGCTGGGGGAGGGTAGCTCTAGAACTATAACCCTTCGCTCTGCCACAGGTGCGTCACAGGTGCGTCACAGGCTTGTGGCAGAGCGAAGGGCTATAGGGAGAGCTAGGGGAGGGGTATACTTCTGTGGTTAGTATAGCTGTAGCTAAGCTAGGTGGGTGGGTTCGGGGGATGTATGCGCATTTACCTGTAGCTAGGTTGGGTGGGGTTCGCACATCGCCCGTATAACCACACGTACAGCGTTCCACACTCACACGTACTACACTTCGCTCACCCTCTCCTACATTATGCTGCAGAGCTCCAGTGAGTGATTGACGACGTTTTGTGTCCGTCACTTGTACAAGCGACGCTCGGACACTGTCATCGAGGGTTGCTCTTCTACCACTGCATTCGCCACCGGACGCCATCTTAGCTCTTGCCATTTACTACTAGCCTTGTTTTAAGAACGATAAATATTTACACTGCACGAAGCGGACACACACACACGCACGCACACATACATACACACTCACTCACTGACACGCACGCACGCACGCACACACACATACACACGCACATCACACACGCATTTACGCACGCAAACCCACGCACGCACACAAAACATTCTGCTGCCGCGATGAGGAGCGAGTGTGCACCGGCAGTCTGTCTATCACATAATATATACGGTAAGTAGTGACGTCACACTCTCACGCCCGCATGACGACAGCGTACGAAAACTAACTCGTCTAATTCGCTACTATTTCTTTCTGCAATGTAGTTGTGCCGATGGCCACTCAGACCGCCACGAGTCGTATAAATGCCCCCACTATATCACCGTACCACTAATTCATGTTATCGTCAAACTATACCACGAACGCGTGTGCTAGACCAACAGCGCTTGGTTACATGCAAATATTTGGCTTTTCCCATACGAATTATAGGAAAGACGTGCAGCGACGCGCAGTGAAATTTGGTATGGAATGACCACAAACCGCGTGGCGTAACACAATATAATACTTTTCTTACACTATCACACAACCAGTTACTCAACCAAATTACACTCTAGTGAAAACTTACATCTGCAAATGAGCACCATATATTCTTATAATGGATAGACTTACGGTTATATATATATCAAGAGGCCATAATAGAGATCTATTATGAACTCATGATAGTATATTATTATATATATAGTAAGATAAGATGATAATATATGACTATATATATATATATAG